CAAAATTAGCTATAGTGACCAAACTAAAATTAGTAATTTTTAATAGGTCTTTGGCCCAATAGGTCTTCTAAACATTTATGTGGCCCAGCACTAAACTCTATGTGTTTTTCTACAATATGTGCTAATATTTATTATTTATATCTCCACCATAATATTTTAATTGTATTTGCAGGTTAATATTTATCGATTGGTTTGTGTTGGAAGTGTGGAAGAAGATATTATTGAAAGAGCAAAACGGAAAATGGTTCTAGATCACCTTGTTATTCAACGTATGGATACGTCTGGGAAAACTGTTTTATCTAAAAACAATGCTCCTTCTGCCAGCACTGGGAATCCATTCAACAAAGATGAACTCAGCGCCATTCTTAAGTTTGGTGCAGAAGATATTTTTAAGGTGAAATATTTTTACTATCATAACGTTGTGAATTAAACATAAGGATTAAAAAAACATAGAAATAAAATTTAAAAAGGAATTATATGAAATTAAGATACGGTTGATAATTTCAGTTTCGTCCTGTAAGTATGTAATTCTTTATACTGTGTTAAGACTTGTAGTATACCTTTTAATTTTTGAATGATAAATTTTTTTTATTCCAAATGAAAGGAAAGTAGATAAGTGGTTCACATGACGAACCACAGTTTTAGTTTTCATTATTTGTAGTTGCTTATTCTCTTTCATACATAAACTTTGAATGTTGAATTACCGTATATCCCGCGAATAAATCTACCAGGCAAATAAGACGATGCCCTTTTTACGCCTTAAAAAAGTTTTTTTGTATATAGCCCCCAATAAGACGGGGCAGGAAAATCACAACTCTGCGTCAATCTTCCTAAGTTATAGACAACGTGCGCGCCAATGTAAGGTATATTATTGTCTAAATTGAATAATAGGCAGAACACGAAAAAAATGAAAATGACCATAGTCGCGACTTATTCGCCGGGAAATACAGTATATTAGAGGAAAATCCAGTTACCTACCAGTTCATACCGGGTATGGGAATTGTTGTTCAGCTGATTGTTTAGTATGTATGGAGGCAAAGGAAAAATATTCCGAACTATCCAGCAGAACTTGTTTATCAGATCAGCATCTTTCTATTGTTTTCTTTTTGCACAGCATGATGTTTCGCAATTGAATCAATATTTTCCAATACACTCAGTGCCGAGTTCACTTCACTATGTCTCACTAATTTTTTTGAATCTACTTTTGACGCAAAAATGTTTTTTCAGGAAGTGGAAGGTGAAGAAAAAGAACCAGAATGCGATATTGATGAAATATTACGACGAGCCGAAACAACAGAAGAACAAACTGAATCTGGTGCTGGAGATGAACTTCTATCTGCGTTTAAAGTAATTATTTCTAATGTTCTTTCTATTTTTCGAAATGTCCAGGGCATTTTCATTCCAAATTAAACTTGAAATTGCTTTATTATACTATGCGGTTTTTTGTGATTGAGAGTTGGAATCTTATAAATTTTCATAACAAAATGAATATTCAAATATTTTTAAATTTACGGTAATTAAATTCAAAATTTTCTATTTTAGGAATAATTTAGAATATTTTAATTAAAAAAAAAAATTACTATTTGAGGCAGTTAGAAGCCTCCCAATGTGATCAATATGGTATTCATTTAAGTTCTGGAAGCTGTTGAAAATAGGAAAATAATTAATCTCTCTTTCTCTCAACAATCTTGCTTTACAAAATTTCAGCTCTAAAAATTTGTTGAATATATATTGACTTTTGCTGACCCAATTTACAATATATTCTATATTCAGATAGTATTATTTTCAAATGTATTCAGAAATAGAGATTATTTGATTTTGGTCATTCCCGTATGACTAATTATTATATCATGATTTTATTACATTGATCGAACAATTGAGTTGTTCATTCAGAGGTGGGCACTCGCAGGACGCCAAAGTTTCAATTTTGATTCTAATTTCAGTTTGCTACATTCACGATAGACGAAGATGAAGATGCCACTCCGACTTCCACTGTTCGTAACGAGGATGAAGACAGTAGGGATGGATTAAAGGAATGGGATGATATTATCCCTGAATCGGACAGAAAAATAATTGAAGAGGAAGAGCGAAGGAAACAGGAAGCTGAACTTTACCTTCCTCCGAGAGCAAGAAAATCTTTACGAGTAAGAGAATGTATTTCTTTTTACGTTTGCATTAAGTTGTATTTATTAACAAACGATTAACAAGGTATGGATGGAATGTATTCTATACCAAAATATGTTTATCAATTTTCTATATTGTGAATTGGTAAATAGTTTATCGGGATGTCTCACTCTAAACAAGACAGGCACTCATTCGTATATAATGGAATCCTATCTATTTGGAAAGACTGAATTTTGTCTGCACCTATAAGTTCCAACGCTTAAAATGCATACATACAAAACATCAAAAATTAATACACACATTAAAATGCATACAAGTTTCACTTCTTTGCACTTTACCACAGTCACACTTAAATTCTTGTAGATAATGAATGATAATTTTTATGGCTTCTTCTCACAAAACTTTTCAGATACACAATGGTGGAAGTGACAGTGATGCAGGATCAGAAGATTCAGATGACGATGCATCAGATGACGATGATGCAGAAGAGAATAATGATGCAAGTAGTAAGAAGAAAGGTAGAACGAGAAGACAGAAAGATGAGTTTTCTGGATTCACGAGCACAGAAGTCCGTAAATTCGTAAAAAGTTTCAGGAAATTTGGAGATCCACTTGATAGGTTTGTTAATGAACAATTTTTTCGACCGATTTGACAAAAAAAATGTTAGCCTTAATTTTTTCGATGTTTAGCGGCGTGTTCTTAATTATCCATAATAAATTGATACATAGTTTTAATGAGGTTAATGTAAAATCAAGAATAAAAAGGTAAATACAAATAAGAAGGCTAATAATGATCACATATATGGACACAAAGGGTTCAATGTCAAAGTGTTCCCATGAATTTAATAAATATAACAGCAAATTTTGAGTAAAATATCAAGCCATGTAGGCCAGATTTAAAAAAAAAAGTGATAGCCAGCCAACGACTCCATCTTTAAGTGCAACAGAGAGAGTAAGAACATAGGACAGCTATGCTCAGATATACATACATTCATACAGGCACGGAGGTTCAATGACAAATTGTAATACAGCTAGCCTACGAAACATACACGAAATGAAGTCTGTTATTTGAACATACAAAAACCTCAAAATCAGTGCCGGTATGTACGGCTGCAGCTGAGCAGTGAGCAAAGTCTTTGTTAAAAAGATGGTGGACTGGTCTAGTGGCATGATATTCATACAAATAACAAATTTGTGTAAAATATTTGATCCCGTGGAACTTGATAAAATTTGAAAAAAAAAATCAAAGTAATAGCAATCTGGTGGTTTTAACTGATAATTTGTAATCATTTGGACAATTAGGAGAAAATCTATTTTTTTCCACCAACAGTATCAACAAAATAATCCTTGACAATGACAATAATTTTGCAAAATTATCCATATCTGTGTCCAACAATACTAGAAATTGTTCCTCAATGGTTTTCAAATACCTGACGGCTATGTCATAAATTTGTGCCCTTGATGATTTTGTACCTATGCTTAATGTCTCAACTATTTATGTTCTACTTACTTGTATTTAGGTTGGATTCAATTGCACGAGATGCTGAATTAACCGTCCAATCAGAAGCCGACTTAAAAAGACTTGGAGTTCAGCTTGATAATCAACTGAGAGATTTATTACAAGCTTATAATAAGAGCCTTCTTCAAAATCTGGTAAAATCAAGTTTATTTTTCAAGTAATGAGCAATTTGTCACATGAATGCTTAGTTACATTGAGAGACTGTAGCTTGGGATAAGATTCATTTCTGAAATATAGTAACTGGAATGGTAATCTGCTAGAGTATTAGAAAAGCTGCAAAACCAATCAATCCTGCCCCCTAGGCTATTTGTTCAATTTTAAGATTTATTTTTGAATGATTGCTATAACTTATATAAGCCTTATGCATTAATTTGTATGCACCACGATGTCCCAGTAGGTCCTGGCATTTCCTCTTATATTTTCTGGCCATACTTCGGGTGAAGTGTCTTGAACAAAAAAGCATAATTTTCGAGAACACTTTGCTCAATGTATAAGCAGAGTTGACAAGAGTTCAAAAACTTACTCTTTTGAATATATTCTAAGATGAGTATTAAATATTTCTAAGAAAGGTCATATTCATCAAAAAAAATTATCACAATTCTTTGTATATTGATAGAAATTTAATTTTTTATTGCAGAATAGTACAGACATATTAAATAGTCATTGTCTTGATTGATTTTCTATTTCTTAACTTTCGTATCGGATGTGAAATGCCTGAAATTTTTAATTAAAAATTTTAATTTTGAATATATATTCTATTAACTGTGGACATCCCTGCAGACAAGTCATCTCTGAAAATTTCATTCCAAAGCATTTTGATTATAGGAAGTCGATCAACCCACTCAACAGAACTCTAAGCGAGGACCTTCATTTCGTATCGGCGGTGCATCAGTATCTGTAAAAACAACAATGGCGTGTATCGAAGAATTACAACCATTAGTGGAAGTTATGTCAAAAGTTGCAGAGGAAAAAAAAAGTATGTTCGTTCAATAATGAAATTGATTGTCTTTGTTAGATTACTTTTGAACAAGGCCATGCACAATTCGGTAATGACTTTTTTTCAGGATCTGAATCTTTTCAGTTAGCATTTTGCCTACCCAATTCGTTACACCCTCGGTGAGCGGTGGGTATGGGGTATGAACTTTAAGACATTAGTTACGACTATATTTTGTTGGACATGAATCTTCCTATTAGGCCTACCAATTTTATTACACCCTAAATATGGTGGTGGGAATGGGGTATGAACCCAAGAACTCCTCCTATGCCATCATACTTAGGCCTAACGCTTTAATTACTACAACATCATGACCAACAAATTTGTTATCTATACTTTGTTTCAATAGTTTCAGGTTAACTATTCCAGTCAAACCGATTCGTGGATGGGATTGTGAATGGACATCGGAAGATGACTCAAATTTATTAATTGGTATTTATGAGTATGGGATGGGAAGTTGGGAACAAATTCAATCAGATACTTCACTACAATTATCTAGAAAGGTTCGATTATCAAATTTTGAAAATTTAACAGAGACTCCTGTAATGCATCAATTTTGACTTAAAAATTCGATATTTCAATGAACTCAAAATATATTAACATTCACAATTTTGGAACCACCGCCGTCAATGGCTAATCAAATGACTTCACATCATTTCTACTATTGATTTTTAAAATAGACTCGAATAAAATTTTTAAAGCAATCAGATTTGTAACACAGTCTGCTTTGAAATGAGAATTTGATGCGAATTCCTACTTCCTAACTTAATATATTTATTGTATTAGATTTGTGAGATCTGAACTCAACTTGAATGGTGTTTAGATCTTAATCAGTTTTTAGCATGTTCAATAAATCATAGATAACTATTAATTGCACCCACAGAATTACTGTTTTTAAACTTTTTTATACAACGTTTTTGCATCTTGGATTTGTAGATACTGCGGCCGAATAATGAGAAACCACAAGCCAAACAATTACAAAGTCGAGTGGAATATTTGATGAAATTATTGAGGAAAACTAAAGAACTTGGAAGAGCTCCTACAGGAATTACATCAGTATCAAACTCAGCTCTATCAGCTGCAGCATCCAGGGTTGCCAGGAAAGTAAGACAAGGAAAGAAGGCTGATGTGAATTCAAAAAATGATGATATGGCATCAGTGAGTATTTGTGGTTTTGTGCATTTTGGTGGAAAGATTCATATTGTAACATGGTCGGCGTTGGGTACAGTTCTCTAAACCCCGAGTCGTGAGTACCATCAAGTTTTAATCTGGTCTTGTCACTGCGCTCTATGGCGCATGCAAATATTTGTTTGTTCCAATGGAAAATTTCGACCATTGACCCTATACCCCCCAGGATCTGTTTCCCTAGTCAAGGTATGTCCCTGCACTTCTAGTTCCCAAGTCTGGTTGATCGAGAGTTGTAGTAGATTTCTTAAACAACTGTAAAATGGGTGAATATTGAGCGATATGGCTAAGCTAGTGTTATTCTGAAAGTCGAACTAGGATTTAATCATTTACTGATAACATTTACAGTCGACATCGGTGCTGCCTATTTTGACCCATTGCTGTAACAATCTAAAAGGTTTTGGATGCTCAGTACAGCATTAATATACATGGTAACTTGTGTTTCATTGAAATTTTGTGCTTTATTCACCCCAAACTTTTTCACATAGAGTCTCAGGTCAATTCTCTTGGCTTGGCGATTAGACAAGTCTTTTCATTAAAATGATCGAATCACTCAAGAGTCTTCGAAATAGGTGACTTACATTCCCCGACACGGAGAATGAGTATAATTATGGTTGCCTTTTAGATTTCTTATCACTGATGTATGAAGTACAACAATGTTTACCTACAAATCCCCCTTGTTTTCAGTCGAAGAAACGAAGTCGTAAAAATAAAGTCAAAAGCCAGAGTGGAAATAAATGATGATAGTGATGCGGAACCTGGATCTTTATCAACTCCAATGGTGAATACAACAACCTCGGCAACAAAGAAAGATTCAAGTTCACGAAAAATGCAAAAGAAACCTAAATCAAATGCAAAGAATTCTGATAATACTAAAGAAAATCACTCAAATCAAAATACAGTGAATAATAAAAATAGTACAGAGGTAAGTTTTGTCCCATCAATGTAATTGATCAAAGCTATGACAAAAACATAATTTGGTCTCTAGTCATCTTACTGTTATAATTCTACAATGGGTTAATGATGGGACAGTCCACGGAAGTGATGAAAATATTGAATACGTTTGAATTTGTGTGAAATTTTATATTGTATATATGATTTTAAGGAAGAATTTAGAGTTTTGTTGCTTCAAATTTATCAATATAAGAATTTGACATTTACCTGATGTCAGATAAATCAGAGCAACGTTTTCCTAAATTATTTTGCATTACCATATTCAGTTTCTATCACTTTACAATGATCTCTAACTACTGTATAGCAATGGAAACTTGCAAGCTATATGAGAAATTAAGTCTGTCAGAAATAAATTTGTCAGTTTCAAACTTCTAGAACAACTTCCTTTATTCTTAGACCAAAAATCGTAAAATAAAGAGAAAACACAAAACAAAAGAGAACGAGAAATTGAAAGAAGAAATTGGAAACACTCATTCAAACGATAAAAAAAAATCAGTAAGTTTTTATTTTTCAAGTAATATATAACATTGTTTTTAAATGGTACGGTCTAAACAGTGGTTTGTAGACTCACAAAATTAAAGCAAGCCAGCAATTGTATGTTCGAAAGTTGGACAATGACAGTACTTTCCCATTTTTATTTTATCCTTCAGTAACTACTATGTTTTTCTGATTCCTAAGACAATCGAGCTCTTCAATTTTAGCCTGCTTACACACATGGTACTGTGTCCGCAATATCGCTAATTTAAATTCATTTCGAATCAACCAATCACTCCTGAATCAGATCACTCCTGACTCAAACTTAACAATAATGAATATACCGTATATATCACTTATAGAGCCGAACCAAGCCAAAACAACTATGTACTTCCAAGCAGACTTGAGATACAGATATGAGCTCTGTTTAAAGGACTCTAAATCTTGTCAGAAAGCAATCAAATAATCAACCAATTTTATCAATCTGAATATACTGTATCATGTAACCACAAGTGAATAGATATGATAGATCTAGTATAATTGCAAATAGAAAAATCAATCGATGCTGTCAAAATATTGTTAGAATATTGTTCCCCAGAGTTTGTTTTTTACTCTGATTACTTTGTACTTCGATTACATACTTTTGGAAATTGGCTGCCATTCCAGAACCCAAGTGCGAGTGATTAGTGAACACTGATTCACAAGCGATAAATTTAATGCTATATCACAGAGATTATGATCAAAATCAAAACTTCAAGATCACTGTGTTCAATTCATATCATTTATATTTTGTAGGAAAAACATAAAACAGAACGAAAAGCATCTGATGGACCAGTACATATCACTGCTGCTGCAGATCCAGTGCCAATAGGTAATTATTTTTATCACAATGGAGATTCCAATATTGCGCAGAATAATTGATGTCGTTTATGACTTCCTACAGCATCTAGGCCCTTGGTTAACTATCCTCATATTCGATGAAATTGGTATGCAGTCGAAAATTCATCTAATCAACTCTTCTCTGCCTGGGATAAATATAAAATTCTATCCCCAACAAGTCTCAATTAATTCATCATTATGATGACAATATAGTTGGAACGTAAACTTTCAGCTTTATTCCGTTATTTTCCCCGAGTATTCAATCGAAATACTTTAATGCTTTAAAATACTTAAGAATGCTCACAGAAAAATCTCTAGTAATAAATTATCATTAACACCTAAATTCGAATCTAATGAGTTTCAATTTTCAGCTGAAGATGAGTTTTCAGGTGAACTTGATCTCGATACATTCAAAGATTGCAAGGAACGAATGAGGCCTGTTAAAAAGGCTTTAAAACTATTAGATAAGTAAGATATAAATTGAGTTTTCTTTATTTTGTGTGTCAACCGTATCATTAGATATTTTCTGATTGGTCAATAATAAAATCTTTCACTCTAATTGATATTATGGTCATATATTTTTAACTCTCCTGGTATCAGAGCTGTAGTCAAGTATTCTCAAAAATTGGGAGACTGAAATTCTTTTATCTGTATTCTACTAGTGGTGGACTTAAAATTGAAGCTCTGAAAGCATGAAGATGACAAAGCATTCTTAGCAAACACAAAAAAGAGACCATTTTTAGCTTTCAGTTTTACTTTTTTAAATGATGTACAAAATTCTATTTCAGTTTTATCAAATTAGCATATGCCAGAGTTTTTGTTGATAAAATTTCTCTTCTTGTTAATGGGGGGGAAGTTGAAATTTTTATCAGCCCTGAGTTTGGGGTCTCTGAGTTGAGTGTAAATTTCTGTAACCCCAACCTATATGGTTAGTACCTGGTATCAAAAAGCAATTTCAAGTAGTATTTTATCTTCAATCATGGAATCATTCAATTTTGTCAGGCCGCCATCTGGTACAAACAATGATGAGAAAGCTCAGGCTGAACATATGAAGAATTGTATTTTGAAAATTGGTGATCGAGTTCTCGAATGTTTGAAGGAGTGTCATGGTGATCTAGTGGCAATTAAGACGTGGAGACGGTGAGTTTTGATTTCTTTAAATATGATCTCAGTAGTTTGTTGTGATTTTGAATATTTGGTAGGTTTTTATATAAATAATTTTAAATTTAATACAAATTAACGAAAACTATGTTAAATTAGGCGGGATTTTTACCTCTAACCATATCAAACTTCTTTTTTGACATCACAAAACTAGCTGAAAGACTTTTTGTAAGTTTTATAGATTTAGTAGAAAGTTATTGAAAACCATGTGAGAAAAGCAACTCCAACCACCAAAATACTCATGAAATTCCTCAGTTCTATAGATTTAGTAGAAAGTTATTGAAAACCATGTGAGAAAAGCAACTCCAACCACCAAAATACTCATGAAATTCCTAAGTTTTATAGATTTAGTAGAAAGTTATTGAAAACCATGTGAGAAAAGCAACTCCAACCACCAAAATACTCATGAAATTCCTAAGTTTTATAGATTTAGTAGAAAATTATTGAAAACCATGTGAGAAAGGAAAGCAAACCACCAAAATATTCAGTGTTTCTTTCAGTTCGCTAACAAGATTCAATTCCACAAAGTGTTAGGACAAGGTATTATTTATCAATAATACCTATTCGGTTTACACATTTCAGAAATTTGTGGATATTTGTTTCAAAATTCACTGAATTCAATGCACAACGATTACATAAAGTTTATAAAAGAGCTTCTCGGAAAAGAGAGCAGGAACGTGACAAAAATAAGGTAAAGAACGGTTGCTATTTGTTAACTTGTGCATCGTAGTGATAGTGTGTCTCGATTGGCCTGCCCAATTTTTGAACTGACTTCCTTTGTGAGGCTTTCATGTTCTAGGTTTTACCTCCATGCCTCTTCTTTCTCTGACTTAAACATTATCATCGCTTGCTATTAGTCGGGGTTGATTGTTGTTGTTATTGGGGTTGTGAAAAATCGCATTTTTGACTGATAATTCAAATATTAGAGTTCAAAGATGGAAGAAGTTGCTACTTTTAATCTGAGCCCATATTTTACTGGGTTTCATGATTCACAGGCAAATCTTTATGCTACATTTGGTAATAGGACGTATATAATTAGGATTTACATCTTTATCGTGGTGACAAATCTTTTTTTTTTTTTCATTTATTTCAACTCTACTTTATAGGTAAAGCATTCTCATCTTGGATCTGGTGATCACTCAACTCATCGAAATACTTCTGATTCAAAATTTGAGAAAAATTCAAATTCGTCACCCCGTAAGGTTTGTATTTTTGTTAACTTAATTTTATAATGGAGTCGGAAGAAAAAAAAATGTTTCCCAAATCTTTGTTTTCGAGTAAAATAATTTTAGAACCACCTGCGTGAATCAATGTTCACAGATCTATGCATCTGGAACGAATAATTGGTTACACGAATATTACCACACTCTAAATCAGATCAGGGGTGGGCAACATACAGCCCGAGATTTCAAGATTTTGACCGGCCCGCTGACTACCCATCCACACTCTGTAATGTGGTCTGACGCATCATTCCTGAAAGTTGCCGATCGCTCTACTCTCACCGCACTGTCAGTGCGAGCTGGTGAAACAAACAATTGTGTTGGTGAAAAAACAATTGCGTTAGCACACTTGTTAAACAAACAATATAAGGTCAAAGCAGAGAGCGTTGTAAACAGTCCCACTACTTTTAACATTTATATTTATATTTGGATTCTGAATATAAATATATTTTAGAAATTAGATTTTATATTGAGTTTTATTTAACCATGGAATATCCCAATAAATGTAAAATTGACAAAAAGTGTCGAGCATTTACAAAAATGGATACCAAAGTATTTTTTGTAATAATCCGGCCCACCGAGGTCTTCATTTTCCCACATCTAGCCCGCCGACTAGAGAAGTTGCCCACCCCTGCTCTAAATGGACTGGCAAACTAGAAGAGAGATTGTGGTTCACCACATGATTTAGCCGCTTACCGACTTCCCTCATCCTACGGATATTGTTATTATTATTATCTCTATTGTTGTTACTTATGAAATATATCAAGTTGACAAGCAAAATTAGAACGGATAGATGGGGAATCAGACTGGGTCTCAGGGCCTGCATTTTACGGAATATTTCGCATCTAGTTGAAACGTATACTCCCGGTATTTTTGATTTGTAATATTTATTAATTTCTGGTGTGCTGCTCGTTTGGTCACTTAAATTTATTACAGTTCCACACTTCACTGTTCTTATATCTGCTTCTGATGATTGCAGCATGGTTGTTGAACAAGATAATGTATCTGATACAATAGGGTTTACTGAGTGACCTTAGTCAATTTAACAGATATTTCTTTTGATTTAGAATGTTGCGGGGAAGAAAAGAAATCATTCACCGATTAAAAACAGAGGCGGTGCAGGTGACGGACCGACGACTGCTCCAAAACGTTCTTTTAATACTTCTGAATCAAGGCATAGAGAAAGGTACTTGATTTCATGTTACACAAATATCAACAATTTAATTGACAGAAATAAAATTAATTTTTGATAATCTGTAAGATATTAAAATGTATTCAGTGATGTTTTCCAAACGAGGCAGTCATTTATATTTCGCGTTGAAGCGAATTCTTTTTGTTGGTGTCATTTCTGGGATGGCCAAAGTAAAAAATATTAAAATATATCATAATATATATTTATTAAACACTAAGTCTCCAAACATCAGTAGGATTAGGAAACCTGCTTCTTGCCTGTAGCCAGAAGAAATAAATTGGACATTGTAGGAGCATAAAGTGAATAATGAAAAAAATGCGCAGAGTTGTACAGTTAGTTGAATTGAAATATATCTAAATTTCATGTTTTTTCCAAACCTACCCATTCTCTAAGCCAGTTGTTCTTGAACATTTTGAACCCGCGCCTCGCTTTTAGAATTTGTGAAGTCTCGCGCCCCATGTCAAAAATAACTAGCTAACAATAAGCTACAAATAACAAAGTATTTTTTATTTAAAAACATGTTGAGAATACGTGGATAGTGCGTAAATATCCAAAATATGGCGGGCAAGATCAAATCTAACAAATATTTATTTTTAATTAGCTTCCCGCCCCCTCAGGAAATTGTCTACACCCCCCCTTGTTGGACCCGCACCACCCCCCTTGTTGGACACGCCCCACCGTTTGAGAACCACTGCTTTAAGTTGTAGCTACCATTATATACTCTGAACTTTCCATATATTTCTTTAAAGAAACTTTCCTGAAGCAAGATTGTGCGCACTCACCCAAAAACAAAGATGTCTCACTTTTGAGCAAAGTTGTAGGGGAATACTGAAAAATCCAAGACTTACTAAAACTGTATATTCACCTGGATAAAATGAAATACTATGATAATATTTCCGTGTTTATTTTTCCAGGGTTCCTCCACATCCAGCAAATAGAAAAGGTGAAAACTTTCATGAAAGGTGAGAAATATCATTGTCCCAAACTTGTTTCTAGCAGAATTCTGTTCATTATATATAAAAATTGTCTAGACATCAGTGAGAATGAATCGTAGAGGGTTGATTGAATCGCTATGTAAGGCTGTGAGACGTTAAACAGTTTATTTATCGTTGCAATAAGTATCCATATTCGATACAATTCACTAGTTATCTGTGAATGAATTTTAAATCGTTTCAGATAAATATTAGAGATTCAGTTTCAATTGGTCATCATGACTCAGGTTCATATTTATTCTTTACCAACAGCAGCACATTGAGTTTGAGCAAAAGCAACAGTGAAGTACTTACATCACAGTTTAGCGGAATTTACCAACAGAGCCAGCAAATCGTACATTATTTTCAAAGCGGCAGTCAGATACAGAATGACCGATATCAGAGTGGTGTAACAGAAAATTGTCTTTCACAATATAGTTTAATTGGAGGAACATCAGGAGATATCGGGATAAAGGAAAGATACAGTCCGAGTCATTATAGCTTACCGAACAGTGGAATAGACAAGTCATATATTGGTCATTACAATTACAATAAGCATGGCATTCGCTGGCAATATGAGAGCAGTGCAGGTTTTAGACAAAATAATATTTGTGGGGTTCCAACACGGACCAACTTTCCTGGAGAAAAATGCATCTGGTGGGCAAAAAACCCACATTCTCAATGATAATACGCATTATTACTCACTTAAGGTAAGGTTAAGGATTATTTGATATGGGTTGTATTACAGCAGCTGACTTCTCTCAATACCGTGTTTCCCTGAAAATAAGACCTACCCTGAAAATAAGACCTACCCTGACAATAATACCTACCCTGAAAATAAGACCTACCCTGAAAATAAGACCTAGCCTGAAAATAAGACCTACCCTGAAAATAAGACCTACCCTGACAATATTACCTACCCTGAAAATAAGACCTAGCCTGAAAATAAGACCTACTCTGAAAATAAGACCTACCCTGAAAATAAGACCTACCCTGAAAATAAGACCTACCCTGAAAATAAGACCTAGCCTGAATTTTAGGAATGATTTTAATATAAGCCCTTCCCTTAAAATAAGACCTAGTCAATAACGCGCATTTTTTTACCTGGTCGATAGCAAGAAATCTCTCCCATACGTTATAAATGATTAATCTAAAACGTGTGAGAGAGGAAAACGTGTCATTTAAGTAAATGGATATCGGTTTTAATATTTTTTATATTTGAAAATCTCCTAATTCTGTACTTTCTAATTTTGTTTTTGATAAATGAAATTATAAGACATCCCCCGAAAATAAGCCCTAGTGGTATTTTTCGAAAGAAAATTGAAATAAGACACCGTCTTATTTAGGGGGAAACACGGTAGTTATATTAACTAACAACCGAAGGCCTATTCTAATTTTACATAACTAATTGTTGGAAGTAATGTTAACTAAATGGCATGGTTTAAACTGCTTGTGATGAATTGAATCTTTAACTGACATTTAAGTGATATGGATATTGTAAATGTATTTTAATAGACAATAGTTCGTTACTAGTACACACTCAGCTTTAATTTGTATCAACTTCAATTTAGACCCGATGATAGAGTTGGGAGAGAATCACCGGGAGGTCATTCACGGTAAATTTGATTATGTGTTCAATTCGCATTGTATTTTGTGTTCATTTATGGTATGCCATATGATGATTTTGTGTGACAATTACATTGGTGCTAATATACGTTGAAGTAAACTGGTGATTAAATATTAAGCTATTGTACATATTGCAGATACCATGGACAGGGTCATCCCAGAAATCTGTCACGCGACGATCGTCGTTTCGGCGACGAAGATTTTAGGTGATTTTCTCTTCATTCATTTTTGTTCTTGTCGCAATTTTGTTTTGTTGACGGCATTCCGTTGATTATCCATTTAGATTTTCTCATAGCGGTGATTCTCGACGGCCGGACCGCAGTTGGCCAGGCGAAGTTTACCGATACCATCGAGAAGAAGAATTTAGGCGACAAGGATATGAACATAGATCAATGTACGAACAACAATCGCGAGTGCCTAGAGATGATAGAGCATATCACAGGTCTTCTTATGGAGAACGTGTGTGGCCGGACTCCAGGCATGGAGAATGGGATGACCGGTACTATCCTAACTCTGATAGAGTGGGTTCTCCTTATCGCCATCACCCAAGGAGAAGCAGAAGTCCTCCGCATCAAAGTCGTCAATATTATAATGTTGGCAGAGCACCAGGACCTAGTAGGCATTCTCCTGGACATGTTCAAGATGCAATTTCCCCAAATAAACAAACTGATTCCACAAATGATGTTACATAGAATTGCAGCCCAGTCGGAAATTAGTAGAACAACACCACACGATTCAATTATCCAATAATCATCTTATAATGGTTAAATAAAAACTGAGATGGATTTAAGAATAGCAATCTGTTCTGACGTGAGCTTTGATGTGGAAATTTATTGCTGCATGACGAATTTCATTTGTCAGCATGTGGGATAAAATCTGAATATATATATATATCCCAAGAAAGAGAAAACCAATAATACTGCATACTCTTTATGGCGAACCGTGACTTATTGTACAATTGCCAGTCTTATGTTGGATATGGAAACAGTTATCCTGTTGCTTCAGATGCATGGACTTGTTTGAATAACAAGATTGTGTGTCCTAAATGCCCCTGTGCCTTTGAAAAATTATGAATAATAGATTTTGATTTGAATGATTCTTGCAGCAATGCACAATATTGAGTAACAAGGTCTTTTAAGGAAGGGTTTTTATAACTCTCCCTTCATGATTCGCACCCTGCCTCTCTCAAGAAAGTCCTCTTTGCTGTACTAAGGGTGGACAAAACAAATTTCCGACTGGGTCATGTGGTGTTGAAAGTTCAATTTTTACTGCTCTCGAAATAACATTCGATGCTGCATCACTGTCACAGGATTCGTGCGATTTTGTATGCCTTAAAATATAAGTTGTTGACATTATGTCTTATTAAGTTACACCTGTTTTGCGTGGTACATATTAAGAATTGCTATTATATTATCTGGCTGGCATAGAAAGCGACTAATAGGGTTGACGTTCCTTGCAGGCAAAACTTATAAAAATTTGCAATGCAAATATGCTAGGTGGTGTTGGTGACTGACATGATTTGTCAGCAAAGATATTTTTCCATGAAGTAGCTCTGGGATTTAAAAAAATTTACAAACTCTCCAATATTCCAAGACCCTGAGCACTATAGGCTACATATAAAATGTCATATGTACCTAGTTTATGCACATATTGGCATGAAAAAAGTGAACATATGTGTGCATGATGATCGGAGATTTGCATCAGATTCCAGGTGGAAGTTTTGACTCCAGGGAGATATCAGAAAATGCGGTGTCAATCTAGATATATAAATAAAAGCATATCGAACCCCCCAACTGCAGTAAGTGACCCGAACATTATTAGAATTAAAAAATAACAGGATAAATATATACCATGGGACGAAAAAAATGTTTACATTGTGTCATATTCTGATATCAAGCATCAAAAAGCATATATCGAATTTTGTAATCACTTAAAATCATTACCTCCTAAATCAGTTATTTGATATTCTGGTGAAGTTATAAATAATTTAGCAATAATAACTTAAATTCTTAATACCCGGCTCCAGTCGTGGCTGGGCCATGCCCACGGCGCCCCAAGGTCGAGAGTGTTCCACCCCAACAATCACCAAAGCTGTTCACTCTCTTTAATAAATGCGGAACACTCGCTAAGCTGCAGACTGATCGCACAAGCAGTGCATAAATCAAACCTTAAATGAAACAACGCTAGTAAATATTTGGAAAAATGACCCTCCCTGCTTGCATTACATATAT